CTGATGTGGGACTCAATGCCAGGAACCTGGGATCATGACCAGAGCCAAGGCAGCCACTCAACCACTGAGCCACCAAGCTGCTCCTGTATGATTCTTTTATATAAAATTCAAATACAGGCAAATTAATCTATGGTATTAGAAGTCAAGATAGTGCTTCTCCAGCTGGAGAGGGTAGAGAATGGGAAGGAAGGGGCATCTGAGGTGCTGCTAATGCTATTTTAAGATTTTATTTATTTATTTGAGAGTGCAAGAGAGTGAGAGTGAGACAGTGTACAAATGGGGTGAGGGGCAGAGGGAGAAGCAGAAGGGCTGAGCAGAGAGCCTGATGTGGGGCTTGATCCCAGGGCCCTAGGATCAAGACCTGAGCCAAAGGCAGATGCCCAACCAACTGAGCCACCCTGCTACCCATTTCCCTTTTCATGTAGGTTTCACACTCAGCGTGGAGCCCAACATGGGGCTTGAACTCATAATCCTGAGAGCAAGACCTGAGCTGAGATCAAGAGTCAGATGCTAAAAAAAAAAAAAAAAAGAGTCAGATGCTTACTGACTGAGCCACATAGGTGCCCTGGTAATGCTGGTTCTTGATCTTCGTACAGATACGTGAGTGTATTACATCTGTGATGTTCACTGGGCTGTACACTTATCATTTGGGCACTTTCCTCTACATTTGTTATTCTTCAATACAGTGGTTCTCTGAATGGAGACAGTTCAGCCTCAGAACCAAAGCCTCAACTGATCTGGGCAGGGGAGGCCCTCCTCTCCCTCATTCTCCTCCATCATCTTTCAAATGCTGTGCAGAGCTATAGTTTGCAGCCCTAGAAATTCACTGCTCATCGTGAGCAATGCCTTCCTTACCCCACAGCAGGGAGGTTGAGGGCACCCTGCACTGGGTAACCTAGGAACAGAGTGCCATGTGAGGAGGTGGGAAGAGAGACTAGAGGTTTGGGACCTGCTCCCCAGGCACAAGCTAACAGTGATGTGCAACAGGCTTCAGCAACCAACCTTAGCCAGCTGCTGAGCGAGGAAGGCAGCCAGCCAGGCTCAAGGCCCCAGTTCCCAAATATTCATTACTGAGGCAGATTTACTATGGAATCCCCCCAGATTTAAAACCTTGGGGTTACTGGGAGGCTCAGTGAGTAAAGCATAGGGCTCCTGATCTTGAGGTCATAGGTTCAAGCCCCATGTTAGGTGTAGAGATTACTTAAAAATAAATAAAAATTTTAAAAATAAAATAAAATAAAATCCTGGCCTCACTGCTGATTGCCTTGACCTTATGCCAAGTTGCTTACCTCCTTTTACAGCAAAAAAGAGTTACTACCACCTGCTTCACAAGGTGATCATAAGCATAAAAAAATATTAGACTATAAGCTCCCCAAAGGCAGGAACTTTTTGTCCATTACTTTAGCTGCAGTTCTAGAACACTGCCTGACACATACAGATGTTAAATGTATGTATCTTGAAAGAATAAAATATAAATAGAGGGCATGGCCCAGAATGGAGGCTCTAATACAAAAGGTAATTTTTACACAAGTTGAAATAAGCAAGATCATCTTGAAGTTAATTCATGCTCAGTCAGATTCATGACTGAACTTTGCAGTTTCCTACCAAAGCTAATGTGGGTTACCTTTAATCTTACTCAAACACTGACTAAGGGTGAGCTGAACCTGAGGAGCCATAATGAAGTACTGGATTTCTTTTAGTGCAATTAAGGTGCTTCTCTCAACTGTCCTTTAGGATGTATAGACCAAGTTAGGTCAATTGCTTTTAATCACTGTACTAACTAATACCACGCAAATTCCTTCCTCCCACCTCTCCTTTGTCTTTGCTTCCAGACCACACTTGAAGGCACCCTCTCAGACTGTGGGGTTGGGGTAGGGGGGAGACATTCCAGCAGTGCCTCCCTCCAGATTAACCTCTTGCTCTTGGTCCAGGCAAGCCCAGCTTCACTTGACCCAAGCCTCATCACTAGGACACAGAGAGACTGTATCTAAGCCAGTTTCCCTACAGGAATGTTTCTGGAAAACCTTCTGATAAGAACGAACAAATGACTAATTGCTCTTAGGGCAGAGGTTGTTATTGGTATCTGTGGGATCTGGTGCTCCAACACTCCACTTCATTTCCTCCACCTCCCACTTTTTTTTTTTTTTAAAGATTTTATTTTTATTTATTTGAGAAAGAGTGAGAAAGCAGAGAGAGTACAAGCAGGGGGAGGGGCAGAGGGAGAAGCAGGCTCCCTGATGAGAAGGATGAGCAGAGAGCCCACACAGGGTTGGATCTAGGGACTCCGGGATCATGACCTGAGGGGAATGAAGGCAGATGCTTAACCAACAGAGCCACCCAGACGCCCCTCAACCTCCCACTTACTGGTAGTAAAAATTGCCACGGAACTTAGGAGTCACAAATTTCATTCAAGTCTCAGCTGGTCACCGTAGTAATGACTTTGGTGAAGCCACTACCGCTCAGGTTTCATCTGCAAAGCAGGCAGACCTTCATGAGATGGTCATGATTCATGCAGATACCTACTGGGCATCCTTTGAAGTATCAGGTCCTGCCTGGGACTAAACCTAAAGGTAAAAATCATGTTTGTGACCCTCAAGGACGCTCCTGAAATGTTCAGGCTAGCAAATTGAACCCATTAAGCTGCTTCTGTGTCTCCACTTTTGAAACCTCCAGCAGGGCTGGGGTTACAGGCTCTCTGAAGTTCCAACTCTGAGATTAAGAACTCAAGCTGTTTAATAGTTACCTTACCAGCTTCAAGAGGGTGTCAGGAGGACAAAGCAAGCTCAGAGTTGTGGAAGTGCTTTGAAGAGTAAAGTGCACATGCAAACAAGGTATTAATTATATCAGATCATTTCTTTGAGCTCAACTTCATAGACACCTATGATATTCATAACCCAGGGGCGAACAACAGGGGCAATTGTTCCTTAGCAATAAAGAAACTTGTCTGCTTGGCCAAACTTGAGCGTTTGTATGTACCCTCAGGATAACCCTTTCAACGTGGCTGGATCCATCCTATGCACTGAAAACAGAAAACTGGGGAGGTAGAGAAAGATGTCAGCAGCTTAGAGTTAAGGAGAAAAATACCAATATTTTTTGTGGGGAGTGTTTCAATTTATTGGGACCAACTCGCCCCAGAATCTTGCTTAAAAAAAAGGCGGCAGCAGCCTATTTATTTCACAGGAAAACTACTCTAAGAACCAGTCATGTTGCAGGGAGGCTCGGAGTTAGCTAAGCACGTTAACCTACCCTTTGTTTTATAACCCAGGTGTGCTCCTGGCATGAACCCACCGGTTTCACAATCATAAACCAGACATCCAAGAAAGCAGAATTTTCTCAAAAGCTTTAAAATGCCTGACGTCACCAGGAAACACTCGCCAACTGGACCATGAAATCGAAAACCTGATCACGGCTTCCCCTCAACAACCTGGAGTTTAGTGAAGTGACAGTTAATCTGGTATTTCTTGCTTCAGTAAGAAAGATAAGGCACAGTCAACACTCAAAAGCCTTGAGATTGTAGTCAGAGAACTTGACAATGACGGGGAGGGAGTACAGATTTGGCAGAGGTCTGGTTAGCAATAAAGCTTCCTCAGGGAGCCGGAATTGGATTTGGGGCCCTGCCCAAGTTAACATTTTTACAGGTTGGCTGAGCTGCAGTTTGTTAGCCAGTCAGTAATAAACCCATGTGCAAGAATTTAAAGTTTATGAGGCATGGCCTCTTAATGCCTCTGCTTGGCTCCCTACAGCCAAGAGTTGAAGGAGCCTGGCCTAGCCTGGGTGTTAATTGTTTTGTCAATCTGCAGGGTTATTCGGGAAAAGAAGGGGGGGGGGAGGCTCCTATGGACTCCAGACCTCAGTCCTCTTTTAGAGAAACAAAGGAGAGCCATTCTGTCCCCTAGGCATTGGCACTTCTCCATTCAAACAGGTAATTTGTACCTGGGGTGAGAGGTATGCTGATGAAGGCATTAGAAAAATGCTAAGTGGCAAAGGTTCTTAATTGTTTTGAAGGCCAGGTAAACTGTAGATCCCCCTTCCCAGGAAGATGCACATGCAAGTTCTTAAACACTTTCATGGGTTAGGGATCCCCTGAACCCCACCCAAGGATCCTGAGTTACACCTCTGTTTAAGAACTTGGTTTGATCGGTGGAGTATCCCAGCCCTCCCCCCACCACACACAGACACACACAGACACACACACACACACACACACACACACACTCTGTCCTGTCTTGGCCGGAGGGAAAGAGGCTCCCACCAGCCGGCAGCTGCCTGGGTCTCACAACACCCTGGTTGTCCGCACCAAAGTGACTCCCAGTTCTCAAGTTTTTGAACTTGTGGGGGGTGGGGTAGGGCCAAGTAAATTGGGTGATCAAAAATGCGCTTTGATCTCCCACCCACTCTGGCCTCAGCTGAAGACCTCGGGCTTGGGGGCCCCCCTCCCCCAACATTCCAGTCCAAGACTGCGGGCGGGGCGGGGGGCAGGAGTATGCACGAGCGCGATGGCCCCGGCCCAGGTGTGCCAGACCCAGTTTCCAGGCAGGCGGAGGGGCGCAGGCCCTCCGGGGAGGGCAGGGTTAAGAGTGCATTCCAGCTGCCGGGGAAGAAGGGGGGCGGGGGAGGGGAGCGCGGAGAAGAGAAACAGACCCGGTCTGTCGGTCGGAGACACAAAGCGCGGTGCACAAAGGGGGCCCGAGAGGGGCGCGGGGGCTGCCCGGGGCACGGCTCACCCGCACACCTGCGCGGGGGCTGGGGGAGGAACGCGGCCGCCGCATTCCCTGGCGGGGCGGGCGGGGGCCAGCTGCCCAGGTCCGGGCTGGCCGAGCGCCCCGCCCCGCACCCGGGGGAGGTCTAGGTGAGCCGCCCCGGCCGGGCCGGGGGCAGCCGTAGGTCGGGGGGCGCCGCTCTCCATCCGCCGCACTCGAGCCCCGACCCGAGGCGCCCCTCGCGCGACCACGTGAGCCCCCGGCCCGCCGGAGCTCCAGGCACCCCCGGGAAGGTCCTACCTTTCCTCCGGGCCTGGCCGGGCCCCGGCTCCGCGCCTCGCGCCTGCAGCTCCGCGCCTCGCGCCTCCAGCGTCACGTCAGCCTTCCCGCCGCCCGCGCCGCCGGGCCCGGAGGCCACGCAGGGCAGCCAGCAGACCTGCGCCTGAGGGAAGGGGCAGAGGGGGGTGGCTCGCAGGCGTGCCCCGCTCCGCACGCCCGTCGCCAGGTGCCGCCCCGGCCGCGAGCAGCCCCGCGCCCCGCTCGGCTCGACGCCGCCGCCGCCGCCGCCGCCGCGTGCGGACCCCGCCCAGCCGGAACGCCCGGGCCGGCCAGGGCCCGGCGCCGCGTACCTGGAGCAGCAGGGCGAGGCGCAGCAGGGACGCGAGGAGCCCCTTGGGGAGCCCCATGGCTGCGGGATGAAGGACGAAGGAGCTGCCGCGACGGCCGGCCGGTGCTTCGCGGAGCCTTCGGGGTCCCTCTGAGCGCGCGGGCCGCGGGAGGCAGCGGGCGGGGGCCAGGTGAGCGCAGGTGGGCGCTGATTGGCCCGACGCCGCCCGGTCCCGCCCCCTCGCAGGTGGGGCCGCAGCCCGCGCGGTGCGGCAGGCGCTGTGGCCTCTCGACTTGCCTGGAGCTGCTCCCGGCGGGAGCCCAGGCTCTGTCTCACAGACTCTGGGTTCTAGGGGAAAAACGCAAGACAAAAAAACAAACAAAACACCACCCCGCTTCTCAGCCTCCGCAGCACGCAAAGAAAAATGTTTTTGTGCCTTGAGGCTGCAGTGGGGGGAAAAAATGGAGACGCATTTGAACCCGACTGCAAACAAGAGGCGCCCCATTCGTACTCCCCCGAGGCATTCCGTTGTCCAAAGCTTTGATGGAGGCCGGGTGTGTCCGCCCCACAACCGGCTACGGGGGGGGGGTGCCCCCTGCCTCTTTCTCCGCCTCCCACGCCAGCCCGCCCTGAAGACACTAAGTAGGGTTTAAACCTGGCGGTGAGGCGCAGAGAGGTCGCGTTACAGACTCTGCGGCAACTTGCGGAACACTCGTTACCTCCATTGCACAGCTCAATAAATGGAGGCTAGGAGAGGAGGCCCCGGAGTTCTGAGGCTGTCCTGGCGCCAAAGGGGGCGAGATAGAGGGGCGGTTATCAGCCCCAGTATCTCCAGGGACCCCCTTCCCCACTAAATATAAATGACACTTTCTCAATTTCATGTAAAAGGCAAACACTTAAAAAAAATAGACATTTAAAAAACCTCGGCTGTTTCATTCGTCTGAAATTTTGAATAGAATCTAAGTGAAAACTGCACTTGCGATGCAAGCGGCCTTCCAGGGAGCCTCCCACATAAGCAGCGCTCCTAACCCTGCCGCCCCCCCTTCTTGAAAGAAACGTGGATGAGCTGGAGTTCATCCCTCTACTTTAGACCTGAAGTGCTTTCCTCTTCGGGACACACAAGTGGAGCCCGGACACAGAAACCCTCCTGAGACTCAATCCCTCCACCCTGCTGCACTGTCTCCCCAGCTCGCTGAGCTTTCCCAAAGTTGTGCTCCCTGAGGTCTCTCCACTTTCCCCAGCTTCCCTGACAACCCAGGCTAACACCTCCTCTTCCCTCTCCTTCCTCCTCCCCAGCTCAGATTCAGGGGTTTGAAGATTGCAACTATAGATTCCTTGGCCCTCAAGGACTAACCAGTGGCCTGCTGTCTTTCCAACCACTAGGCCCTATGGCTAGGAGGAAGGTTGTGCTGTGACTGTGAAAGTCCTCTCTCCAGCCAAGCTTTGGCTCTGGTGCCCTAATGCCAGTGTTTGAACCTGTGTTGCACCATGATTAGTACTAGGGCCTCAGGCAAGTGAAATAACTTCTTTGAGGCTCAGTTCTACATACATTAAATGAATGGGACATCTGCCCTCTAAAGTTTTGATACATTAGGATTTATTTTATTTATTCATAAGAGACACACAGAGAGAGGTAGAGACAGAGACAGGGGAGAAGCAGGCTCCCTGCCAGGGGCCTGATGGGGGACTCGATCCCAGGACCCCGGGGATCATGACCTGAGCCGAAGGCAGAGGCTCAACCACTGAGCCACCCAGGTGTCCCTACGTTAGGATTAAACGAATCAATACATAGAAACAGGAATTAATACATTTAAAACGCTAACTTCAGTACCCAGCACAGAGCCAGTGGCCAAACATTGCTTGGTACTATTGCTTTGGGGTCTAATTTGTCCCCCGCCCGGGGAGTGGTTTCTGTCCTTAGCACCGTCACATTCCCCACACTAAGAAATGTGACCCTTGAATTTCGCAGCTGATGGGAAAGCAAGCCGTTGGCATCCAGTATCCGGGAGAGCCCGGGCTCCGCGCGTGGGCCCAGCGGCTGGGGCGGGCGCGGACGCCGCGCTGCAAAAGCCTGGCAGCTCGCTGAGCTCCGCCTCGCCGGCCCGGGCCGCCGCGGGGGTCGCCTTCCCGGCGGGAGGGCGCGGTGGGTACCCGCGGGGCGCGCCGCGGCGTGGAGGCCCCGGGTGGCACCAGCGGCTCCGCCTCTCCTCGGCCCGCAGATGCCGCTGCGCCCGCCCGGAACCAGATGAAGCCATTAAGCGGACCGTTAACCGCAGCCGAGCCCCGGGACGCAGGCCCCCGTTAAGTAAACACCGGCGGGAGGGCCGCTCCGCGCGCTCATTTCCGCCTGCTTCCCGGGCCCTCAGCCTCGCGGGCGGGGGCGGGCGGAGAAGTCGAGAGTCAGCGCTGCGGCTGCGACTGGGGCCGCGCTGCCGGCTTCTCCGCTCCTCCCCCTGGCCCCTGGGCCATTCGGCTCATTCACCCAACAAATCCTCGCCGGTAGCCTGCTATCTGCCGAGCACTGGAGATGCGACACTGAACAAACTGTTACAAATCTGCAGCCTGGAGAGTTGGGGGTGGGGGGGTGAGGAAAATAACCAAAGAAGTAAATGTGTGTTAGATAATACCTGCTATGGGGCACCTGGGTGGCTCAGTCGAGCATCTGCCTTGGGCTCAGAGCGTGATCCCGGGCTCCTGGGATGGAATCCCCCATCGGGCTCCCCGCAGGGAGCCTGCTTCTCCCTCTGCCTATGTCTCTGCCTCTCTCTCTGTCTCGAATGAATGATCTTTTTTTTTTTTTTTTTTAAAGACCATATGTGCTGTGTAGATGAAGAAGGGTGAAATGGGAAGTGCCAATTCCTGAGATGGAAGGTAGGGGCGCCTGGCTAGCTCAGTTGGTGGAGCCTGGGACTCTATCTCAGGGCTGTGAGTTCAAGCCCTGCAATGGGCAAAGAGACAGAAAGAAAGAGAGAGAGGAAGGAGGGAAAGAAAAAGAAGGAAGGAAGGAAGGAAAGAAGGAAGGAAGAAAAAAAACACGTGAGACAGAAGGTAGGGTTGGAGACTATACAGAAAGTGATCTGGAAGGTGTTTCAGTTGGGGCCAACAAGAGACAGACTCCAGATTGGGTGGTTCAAGTCTCAGTGAAGGGACTAAAGGAATGGGCAGGGTTCAGAGAATCAAAAGGGATGTTGAGGCTCCAGGGACCAATGAGAGAGGGGCCTTAGAACTTTGAGGAATGAAGAGCCAAGGGAGGAAATGATGTCATTGATACTTGGGAGTTGGCAGGCAGCTGGAGAGTGGAGGAAGGACTACCTCTCCCAAATGCAGTCAATGTCCTGCCACTCACTCAATGCCAAGAGCAGGTAAGATGCAGGAAATCTTCAGCATCTTCCTCCTTTTGCCATTCATCTCTTGGTGGGCCAAACCCACCCAGAAGCCTGAGGGCAAGAAAGCTCAGTTGGCACAGTGTCGAGGGGTCATTCTCTCCAGTCATGAGGCAGGAGGAGAAAGGCAGAAAACGGATGAGGGGTGGGTGCACAATGGGTGATGCCAAGAGGCCTCTCTGAGAAATGGGCATTTGAACAATACCTGAAAGAAATGAAGAAGCAAGTTACACCCAGGATATGAAGGAAGAGCATTCCAGGCAGACAAACCCAGGCAAAGGCCCTGAGGCAGTAGATTACTTGGAACAGAAAAAAAAAAAAAAAAAAAAAGCCAGAATGGCTGGGGTAGAGTGACAAGTAGGAAATGAGTCAGAGCTGGGAGGTTGAGGAACGAATCTTGCAGAGCATCATAGGCCATTGTAAGAACTTGGACTTCTGCTGAGTGGAAGGGAAGGAAGACATTGGAGATTGTGAGCAGAGGAGTGGCATTGAGACCACAGGGAATGGAAGTAGAGGCAGGGAGGTCAACTGGGATCCTACTGCAAACAACAGGCAGAAATTTAAACAGCTTGGTTTAGGGTGGAGATCATAGAAGGGATAAAAATTATCAAATTAAAAAGAACCCAGAGGGGTGCCTGGGTGGCTCAGTTGATTACATGTCTGCCTGTCTGCCTTCAGCTCAGGTCATGATCTCTGGGTCCTGGGATGGAGTCAGAGTTGAGGCAGGTAGGTTCCTTGCTCAGTGGAGACTCTGCTTCTCCCTCTCCTTCTCCCTTCTCACCCCCCTCATGTTCTCTCTATCTCAAATAAACAAATATTTTTTAAAAAAGCAGAAAATAATGTGTTGGCAAGGATGTTGAGAAATTGGAACAGTTGTGCACTGCTGGGAATGAAAAATGGTGCAGCCACTTTGGAAAACAACATGGCAGTTACTAAAAAAAATTAAAAATAGAATTTCCATATAATTTAGCAATTCCACTTCTGGGTACATACTCAAAAGAATTGAGAGAAGGGGCTCAAACAGATATTTGAACATCCATGTTCATAGCAGCATTATTTGCAATAACCAAGAGGCAGGAGCAGTCCAAGTGTCCATCCATAGGTAAGTGAATAAACAAAATGTTCATCAGGTACAGAGTTTCAGTTTTGTATGATGAAAAGAATTCTGTGGATGGATGGTGGTGATGGTTGAACAGCAATGTGAATATACTTAATGCCACTGAACTGTATGTCATATGAATTTTACCACGATTTTTAAAGTTACTTTAAAAAAGTGATTATATTCTGGGTTTATTTTAAAGCAATTGCCAGAGTGTGCCTGGCTGGCTCAGTCAGTAGAACATGAGACTCTTGATTCAGGGGTTGAGAGACAGAGTCCCAAGTTGGGCATAAAGATTACTTAAAAAAATTTTTTTTAAATAAAGATATTGCCAACAGTAAGATTGACCAAAAGATTGGATATGGGCATGAGAGAAAGAGCAGGTCCAGGATGACTCCAGTGTTTGGAGCCTGAGCAACCAGGAGGAGAGTAGTGCCATTTCTTGAGTTTGGGAAGGTGTGTATGGTAGACACTGTCAGGGTACTGCTCAGATACTCCCTGGGGTCCCTTTGATGGTTTCTGAGCTCCCCTTCTTGGCTTCTGTGTGCTGATGCTTCTAGTAGCCTGCACGTGACTCTCTTCAGAGATCTGCTCATCTGCTATTGGAGTCCCTTTGGCCTTGCAAGGAAGTGCCCAGGGGCTCACTTCCCAGCCCTTAGCCAGTGACCAACTGATACTGTAATAGGGAAGCCCAGCCCCCTTTTCACCTGCCAATTTCCCAGAGGTAATTACATCCAGCATTCCTCTGGGGGTCAGGCTGAAACTACCCTGCGGAGACTCGGCCCAAAATAACACCCTTGCTATTTTATTTTATTTTATTTATTTTATTTATTTTATTTTATTTTATTTTATTTTATTTATTTTATTTTATTTTATTTTATTATTTTATTTTAATCTTATTTTTTTTTTACTTATTTTTTTTACCCTTGCTCTTTTAAAATGGACATGGAGCCCAACTC